AAAATAATTCTCTGAAAAGATAGAGGAACAAGGTTCTGACATTCAAAAATAAAAGTCTGTAGGTCTGACTATAAAATTATCTTAGCTTGAGAAAATGACATTTTGCATTTATTAAGTCAGTCTTACCTGTCCCTTTGGCACAACTCTTCTTAAGAAAGGTATCACAACATTTTTAAGCCACAAACACAGTTCCTTCAAAGGAGCAGCAAAATGGATGGCATTAAGCAAGTTCTCCAGCATTTTCTCATCAAAGAGGCTTTCAAAATCTGTCTAAAATATTAAAACAAAACAATCACAGATATATGGAGTATATGTTTATCTGATACTTTGGAAAGCTGTTTCACTAATAGGAAGAAGCAATAGATTTCACAAATACAAAGAGAAAATCTCAATAATCATAGACAGGAATTTTAAAAAAATATAGCCCTGTTCAGAAAAATTAGAGCTTGGTCTTCTTAAACAAGACCTAATTTAAGCAATTCCTTTGCAAATTAGGGTGCCAAGATCACATCCTATTATTTTAGGACTTGCTCTATAGTTCTGTCTTATTAAGAAAACAACAAACACTGACATGAAAGTCCTGCACTAAAGAATATAATAGCCCATAGCCACTACTATGAATGTGTCATTCAGAGTAAGGAGTCTATGTGATTTATTTTTAAAGGATTTTAAGGTAGCCAGCAAATGTCCACTTAAAAATTCTGAGAGCTGTGCTTGCAAGAAAGTGAATGAAGATTATAACCACCACAGAACAAATCAAAGAATTCTCACCCTCCGGACCTAGAAATATGTGTTCTGACATCAGAAATACCAGTTTATTCTTAAATCAATAAGAACTTCAGCCTTCTAAGGAGCTAGGTGAACAGGTAATCATTGTGATAATAGATGAGATTCTGCCATAGACCTTTGCTTCTTTGAAGAGCTGTTTCATAACCACGTAGGTCTGATTCTGTTAAATAAGGCTGGAAAATTTAAGAGACTTAACATCCTCCATAAGTACTAAAGAGACGCATATGCCATCTCACCTGATGCCTAAGCCAGAGGTACTGTGCACAAGACAGATTTCCTTCTTCTAGCTGAAAAAGGATATTCTTGAAAATGTCTTCGTTATTGAAGAATTCTGTCCAAGCAATACCACTAGAAGAGAGAGGAGGAAAAGAAACCCTGGTATTGATATATGTCAATATTAAAGGAGCTGGGGGTGAAGAACCTCAAACCTTTTCTAGCTAGTACTATATGCTGTAAGAAACAAGAGTAGTGTTAGATTGTGTATGCATAAAAATCACACCCCCTCCAATATATGTTAAATAAATAAATCTATACAAGATAGTGCATGTGCAACAGATAATATATGTTTTCCACATACAGGATGACTCAACCTCTCTGCATTCTCCCTTCTCCACAGAAAAGGATGAGAAACTTCAGGAACAGAGGTTTAATGAACTCAAATTAAAAAGCAAAAAAAAAGTCTTAATTTCAATAGCGTGTACTTAACCGTTAGAATTAAATTTACTTTAAATCTTAATGAACAAACAGAAACAAACCTGAATTTCTCTAGTCCAAAAGCTCCATAAAAAGTTGTAAGCCTTGACTGAGCTCTCAATACCTGAATGCAGACAAGAGATTTAAAGTCAATATCTAGCTTACCAAACAGTGATATTATATGGTTAGAATAACCGTCACAAAGGGGAAGAATGGAGGAAAATAAACACTTTTCAAGAATTTCAGTTAATTACATATGTAAGTTTGTTTAATAAAGCATGAATCCAAAATTTCAATTGTGTAAACACTTGATACTGATTCTCCTTGAAGGCAGATGAGGCCTGTCCAGTATACAATAGGACTAAATAAGAAACAAAATTAAATACCTAAAAGCACTTAAGAAAGCTTCTTCCTTCAATTTCTGGAGCATCTGAAAATGAATCTTTCTATGACTGAAGGAATCACTTATTTCTGAAACCTGTCATTACTGTGGTTACTGTGGTTGTCTTTCATACTATAAAACATGATCTTGTTTAGACTTTTAAAAAGTTCAACAGTAGTACAGTTTTTAAAATTCTTATACTTGTTTATCATATGATACTGCGGGGCCAAGAAATTTGTTCTCACCTCGGTTATAGATACAAGAGCCCCATCAGATGATGAAGCAATGTTTCTATCATCTTTCTTTAAGATCTGAAACAAATAGATGAAATGGTTTGGCTGACAACTCAGTACATGCAGAACATGCCAGACAGTACTACGAATTTAATAAATACATGAGCAAAAACTTGGTACGTCTGTAAACTGGAGTCTCTATTTTACAGTGTTAGACTCTGATTGGATTTCTACTTGTCTACAGGATCAGACAGATAATATGTATCTCTCTGATTCTGTTTGATAAGGCAGGAAAGACTAAAATAACGAAAACAAAAAAGGTGACATATTTTGAGCTTTTAGTCCTGAAATTAATGTTTAAAAGGTACTTAAAAAGAGTACTACTGAAAGCTAAAACCTGCTTTCTGATGTGAAAATAAAACTGTAAGTTCTTTTTTGCCCTTAAGCAGTAGCAAGAACAAGGTTGAAACAAGCCTTGCTGCTTCTTCATGTTTGGTAACATACGATTTATAATGCATTTACTTTTTGAATGACTGTAACTGGTTTGAAGATGTCCCCCCTCCCAAGTTGTACAGAAATATGTAATAGGAATGCATGAGTATAAGCAATTTAAACAAATAAAACCCCTTACTCTGAGTTTAGCGTAGCTCAACATTTCTTGAGTGGTTTCATACAGTGGCCATGGAGCATTTATGCAGTAATCCACAACAAACTGGCTATCCTGTTTGCATAAGGAAACAACTGAAATTAATTCCAGGCTCCTTTATAATCTGAATTACGTTATTAGAGAAAAAGTGTAGAAATAAAAACATACCTGAATTTTTTGCAAATTTTCTTTGGCTTCATTCACAAGATCCAGCCAGACTTCATGACCATAACTCTCAACAGAAGCTGAAGCTAGTTGCTCTAAAATAGTGTTTGCTTTCACTTTGTATACAAGCTGTTTAAAAAAAAAAAACCAAACCACACACAGTTTTCAGTTTGATGCAATTAAGTTTTAAGCAGACAGTCTTCAACAGAAAACTCTACACTTTTGTTCACAATGTTTTTGAGATAAAGTGTGTCCATGTACATTGAATGATTTCATTACAGAAATGGATTACCAATTAGTCTCTTAACAATTGTGGTTTCTTTTTATCTTACCAGCTAAGCCTGTTTTTTTATTTACAAAAACAAAACAAAACAAAAAGCAGAGAGAGCATTGAAATTGCATTATTAGAATAAATCAGTTAATGAAGCCAAACTATGTGTTAATAAATGCATGTGAAAAGTCTCTTCTTTTTTTTAGCAGCACTGTTTCCTGCTACTTAAAGGGACAAGTGTCCCTTCTCCTGATCCAGCAGTGCTTATTTTGATCAGAAGATGTACTTCTGCACCACTTCTCATTGCAAGGTTTGTTAGTTATTGTAAATAAAAACATAGTTCACCATGTAGTCATCTAATTTTGAGTCAGCTTTCAAGTATAGCGAGTTGCTTTGATAGGCATTCCACTATATTTGTAATATTTTTAATACTTTCTGTTGGACTATAGGGCAAGAACCTTACTCATAAGTTCAGTTATACTAATTAATCTCCAAATGTATTTATCAAGAACGGACAACTTACCTCAACATCTAGTCCAAATTGAATAGCAAAATTCTCTGCTTCAGTGAATTTGTGTTTGTGAAGTAAGCGACTTAGTCTAGGGGTGAAATAAAGTAAAGTATGCTACTTCAATATAAGTGCCAAACCACAGATAAAAAAGTAAAATAAAATAGTGTTTCATGGAAACCAGTACCTATTTTCTGGCAAGGCTTCAGTTAAACTTCTCATCACAACAATAGAAACTGGGCCTTCAGAGGGTCTGAGGATGAGAGAGAACTATGTGAGTTGCTTAACTGTGAAATAGCTATATGTAGAAGTAATCTGCCATTTTTATATAATAATGATCTAGTAAGAAACAAAACATTATCTTACATCTGATGTTTTTCATGAATTCCTTCCAAGAAGTATATTGTATCCTGTAGCATGCAATAACAGAAATCATTAGGTGGTAAGGGAAATCAGTCATAAGAAAGCACAACTGTAATGCATTAAGTGTTTCTTAATCTGGAAACAAACTACTGCTTTTCTCTCAGATAAGTTTGTTGGGTTTTTTAAATGCTTATCATGTTATTTCCTGGATAGGTGCCACATCTAAAATTTCGGAGGGCCTTAACTGGACAGTTCAGACTGAAACCACTCTGCCATCGCAGTTCAATTACCATCAGTACACCCTCCACAGGAGTGAAGCATCATCTCAGAGTTACACTCTTCCATTCTGTCCAAGCCATAAGCAGGTCACACTGCATGCATCTTCACATCTTTTAGAATCTGATCTCTGTGCTACATTCCACAAAGGCAATATATGCCTTGCCATTTCCCACCTTGATTTTATCATCTCAGATTGAAGGGATATATTAGCCATTATTTTCTCCACTATGCATCTGCATATATAATCTTCTCTGCCAAGTGCTTCACACAAGGCAAGCAATTTCATCAGCTTTGTACTTTATTGCATATCAGATCCAGAGCTTACTACATTCACTTTCACGATTCCAATGAAGAGCCACTGCTTAGACTTCTGACTTGGTATCCTCTCACATACCCACTCCACCAGTCTTTACAACATTCCTAATTCATAAAGTTCTTGCTGTCTTTTTTGATCTTCTTTTGTTAAAGTCTTTATAAGGAAGCAGTTTAAACAGTAAAACAAGTACTTCTCTCATCTAAACTTAAATAAATCCCAAATAAATCCAGAGCATTTTTCTATGCTAAGAGAACTTAAAACTTCATACAGCTTTTAGGTGTAATAGCAGCAAGAACAACTAGCAGTAGTATTAGACTAACATTACAATAGACCTGGGCCTAGAATTAAACTGTTCAGTTTGCTCTATATTCTATTCTTTTTCTCCATCCTTTGGGGACATCATTTAATCTTTCTTTGTACAGTTCCTGCACAGTTTCTAGCACAAATTGGTTCTAATCTAACAAGAATAACACAGTACCCTCTTTAATAATTATACGTATTAAGACAACTATATTTCTTCAAAGAACAACAACAAAAATAATCTACATACTGTGCCAATCCCACTTTGAACAAGTGAAGAAACAACAGATACTTCCAAAGAATAGAGTGGTTGCATAGTAGGCAATGCAAAAACCATTAGACTTCTCATCTATTTAAAAAAAAAAAAAAAAAAAAAAAGGAAAACAAACAAACAAGTCAGAATTTTTTTTTCTCATACACTGGTGACAAAGTGATGTTTGCAGAATCATTTCTGGATTCCTATGGAGTTAGATGGAGGACACTACTGTTATAAGATTTTATGAAAAAGCAATCTCTACAATTTGAGAAAGTTTCACGAAGTTTTAGATGTTGCCTCTCTATATAGGCCTGTTATATATAATGAGACAGGTTTAATTTTAAAAATTATATAATGTTCATCCTGGCATTCTATTTCAGTTAACTCCACTGACTGTACATGGAGCAGATACTGCTCTAAAGAAATCTGTGAAGGTATGCAAGACAATACTAAATTTTGCTGCTCTCCCCTACCTGCCTACCATTTTAAAAAAGCAAACAAATCAACTCCCAAACAATCCATAAAAAACCCAAACAGCAGGGCAGCTTGCCCTGGTCACCACTGTAAGACATCGCAACAGTCCCTCACTCGCTATATCCTAATACATGGATGGTCACATTTCAGTTTTGACTTTGAGCTCCTGAGAATTCTGTCTGCTCCAAATATTTAGCCATCCCCTTTTCTCTTCCCGCCCCCCCCCCTTTTATTTTGTGAGTGACTGCATAATAATTGAGGAACAGAACACAGATAAAGACATTATACCTGTTTGTTATCCGGTATTGTCATGACTATCAGTTTAACATTGGCAAGCCCTTGCCTACAGAATAAGAAAAAAAAAAAAAAAAAAAAGCAAAATATACTGTATAAATCTTGTGTTAAAACTGTGAAATATTCTTGCTTCTGAGTTTCAGAAAATTTAGATTTCCATGGAAATTGGTACATTTTAAAACCCTATAGCGCACCCCAAAATAACAGTGTTTTAGGATGTAGAGGATGTACCTTTAACTTCTAACATTTTTAAGCTTTTCAGATGGATCTGATTCTTATTTTTTTAAACTGGCACAGAGCAATGGAAAGAGCCAAGAGTCTTGTCTTCTAATCTTAACAGCCATTAATTCCTTTTGTATTTTAACCAATGTACACACCTCTAGATTTTGGCTTCTCCATCTGCAGAATGAAGATCTTACTATTTATCTATCAGAAAGACAGACTAGCTTTTTTTATAACATCAGACGTGTAAGCCATACTATATAATTTATTTTAGACAAGCATTTCCTAAATGGTACAGGTTACATGTAAGATTCCTTAGCAGTAACAACAGATAAACCAAGAAAAAGCAGAAAGCGCCAAGGTTTTCTTTTCTACACACAGAGCTAAGGATACCTACAGCCCAATTATTTTGTCCTACTTACTAGAAAGATTCAAACAAAGGTTTCTAAAAATTCACTACCACAGAAAATCAAGTGTTTGTGGCACATTTACTGTAACAATAGGCAACTTTTCACTTTTCAGAATTGGTGCTATATTGCTTTACTTACCATATGACTGGAGAAGAATCTGACTCTGTACTTAGAAGAAATTCTTCAATATGTATTAAAGGCCAATCCCAAATTAGAGTAAGGGAATAAACATCCCACATGCTTAAGATATTCTAGATTTAAAAAAAAAAAAAAGTCAGATATGGATTTCATATTTTCTTCATAGAAGACATTTTTTATCTTTTTTGAGCAGAATATTAACACATTCCGTAGCTTTAATAATGACTAGGAGTAGAATAAAAAAAAACACAGTAAGATCAAGATCCTCTGTAAATATAAGCTTCTTTATTTTATAGAAACATATTTTAAAACTATTACTTTAAAAAATATTTTTATAAGCTGGTTCAAGAACATTGTAAAGCAAAGACTAAACCAAATCTTTACACATACCTCTGTATCTAAAACAAACAGCAGATTGTCAAGAACTTGAAGTTTTACTGCATCTAAAAAAATAGCCATAGTCACATAAATTCATTATTTTTCTTGAGAAATGTATTCAAAGCAAAAATGTATTAAAATGTACAACCAAGCATTGGAAACCTACAGATGTTTAACCTCATCGAACTTCCTGGACCGTGAAAAGTTTAGCTTAAAGAGAATTGTGATTTACAAATCTAAGTTAACTCAACAATTTTGAAGCATACATTTTGCTTGTACCTTTACAAGAAGTGTTCCATTTGGTATATGTGTATTTACTAAAAACAGTGAAATAACTGAAAATGTCTTAGTATTTTCTGCAATTAAATATGACTTCTACACTTGTCTATAAAAAGAAAAAAAACCTCTTCTTTACCTTTGATCAGACTTGAATCAGCAAAACTTCGAACAGACACCAGGTTATTGGTAGTGTCTACCTCCCATTTGGAAAGTACATAATCGCCTTTACCCTATTAGTAAAGGCAAAGTAAAATAGGGTTACACATTAGAAATCTGGCCGTTGAAAGGTGTGCATCTACAATTGATGTTTAACTTGGAAAGCTGCAAAACTAACTTAAACTTTATTCCTGGTGAATGTTGATGTTCAGAAAAATACATTTATTTATTTATTTTTAATTTAGCCTGTTTCCTTTCTCCTTTTAAGGCCGGCCTTTACTAAAATAATTGTTACAGTCAGCATCCTCAAACATTTTTGGCTCTTGTAAAAACATGCCATATTTCAAAACATCCACTTTCCATTCTCAGAACATAAAACCTGAATGAAACATACACTGAACCTACTGAGAAAAATTGCATTGAATTCAACAGGCTTCAGTCAATGAACTCAGAAAGCTTGCTTCTAGTCCAAAATAACATTTCAAAATATGTCTATATTTTTATTTCTTTATTAGTTCCTGTACTTAATTCATGGTTAAGGGCTTTGTTCAGTTGGGACCTTAATTGTTACTTTGGCAAGCCTTTGTTCAATGTGAACCTGATTGGAAGACTCTTGCCAACTTTGGCTTTGTCTCTGAGCTCAAGGACGAGACTATAAATAGACTAGCCTGTACAGGCTAGGAACCACAGTGATTTAATAAGGTCATACAACCAGGGTGAAAATATTTTTCCTCCATCTATCATAACAGAGTGAGTTCTGAAATGACAAGTTATTTCCTTACGAGAAAAAATATGGACAGACTGCACAACTGATAACCTTTAAATTTACAGTGAAGGAAGTGAAAGACAAAAAATCTTAGTGCAAAAAGTTTATTATCTTCTTTTTCAACCAGCTAGAGAAAAATTTTGTTGCAGATCAAAAGACGTCATCACTGACCACATAACAACTGTTACGAACATATTCTTAATACTTACCCCAATTATCAAATGGATTTTGTTCACCGAGTTACTTATCACAAAATTCTGACAGCCGAGGCTGTGATACTCTTCTGTGGAAATGAAAGCTGTCTTTATCTGTCCTTGTAACTTGTGGGGTGGGAGATGAAGGGAAAGCAAACAAAAGGGGAAGAAAGAAGTTGTTTATACAATCAGTGGATAAAACCTTGAACTGCTCACTTCTCCATGTACAGAAAAAGTAACAGTCACAATTATGAGTCGTAATAATAAACTGGTAAGTAGTCAATGAAATGTACAGAGCAGAGTTTTGTTACAAATTTGCACTTAACACATATGTTACAAGTTAGCATATATTTCTTACTTTCTTTGCCGTAATCATATCCATCTTGTCAACTGCTACAATAAAAAAAAAAAAAAAAAAAAAAAAAAAAAACAGTGTTAAAGAAACTTTTTCAAAATTGAAAAAAGCCACTGAACATCATATAGGACAGTTTAATCGTAACCTAACTATGCTGAAAAACACTTTAGCCAGGGTCTATGACAAGGTCTATTTCTATTGGTCACAGTATTGAGTTACAGAAAATTAACTGATAACTATACTTATACAGCATTAAAAATTTAAATTATTCCCAACATTCTTCAGTACAGTTAAGACTGATTATAGCTTAAAATCCTGCTTCAGTACTCTCTCTAAAGCAGTGACTCAGAGAAACATAAGCTAAAGTAATTATTGGAAGAATACAAAAATAATTTTATTACAGAACTAGTTGTAGATTGGTTTCCCTTTAAAAAAACCCTAAGATTACACAGAAAATACCAATTCAATATCTTATTCCCATTAGAAAGGTGCATGGAAAAGTTTTTTTAATACAGCTCTTCCTGTTCAAATGGAAATCCCAAGTGGTTTGTAGATCATCCTACCTTCCTGCGTTTTAGCAAGTGGAAGACACATAATGCAGAAGAATCCTTTGCTTGTGAGAATAAACATATGATAAACACCTAAAAAAATTCCAATACAAGTATTTAAAACTTAGATATTCAATAACTGTAAAGAGACTACTTGCTTATGAATAGGACAGTGAAATAACTGACAAAAAAAATAATCTGACCAACAGATTAGACTATTTTTAAGCAAAAATTTTGTCACCTTCAACAACGAGTAGAATAAGTTTGTACATCTTAGAGTTCTGTTTGAAATTATGATTTTTATATGCATCCATCAGACTGCAAATTCTGTTTTCATGACAAGACTACATTTAAATGCATTATATTGTGACAGAACAAGACTGGGAGCTTATAGAAGAACAGGAACTACTAAATCTGAAGTCTGATAGGAGAAGGAAAGAGAAGCAATCCTTCCTTTTTGAGCATTTTCATATATTTAGCACAGTCTCAAAACAAAGAGGTATTGAGTTCTGAATGTTTGTTGTTTTCTATGACATTCTTAAAATAATTAATGAGTGCTAAATATCTTTACAGGAAAGCATTAAGAAAAGTGCATTTAATGTGTACAGTGCAAAGTAAAGCTGTATCTGATT